TTCTGAACCCCAATAAAACAAATTATCTGACCAATATGATTTATTGCAAAAAGAATGCACAAATTTGGTTTTTGGTCATGTAGCTTTGCAGAATTCTCCATGATACACACATTGTATTTATCTGTTACAGCATTGAGATTCATAGGAACTTGAGAGTTATGAGTTCTTATTCTTACAGACTCTCTTAGTATGAAATATCAACCTTATTGACCCCTATCAATGGAGGAGACAAAATGGAAATCATAGGGTTAAAAGAATTTTTTGATGGGGTCCAGTATTTGACAAGAATTGTTGCTGAAAAGGCAAAGGTTGACAGGATGTAGTGCCAATGTTACATTTAACAACAAAATTGGGCAGAGCAAGGAGGTTAATTTTGTCTTTAGACCACAATGTCAAATCTAAACTGCACTAAAAAATCTCCTTTGCCTATCCAATTTTCAATTTTCAAGGCACCTGGCAAACTATCATGAAAATTTGAATGTCAGTGCCGGTCTCTTATGTGAACAGGCGTTGGTGGGGGGTATGGGTCTTACTATAGCCTTGTAAGGCCAGTAGAAATAGAACCTCACTTCAACACTAGGAAGCAGAGGGTTTAGCTCCCTGGGTTAACGGGGACAACAGTGGAATGAGCATCACCTCACCAAGCTCAGAGTGGTAATATGACTCTCTTCTAGAATACAGTAATGAATTAACTGTAGTCTAGGATGATAGTATAATAGAGATGAAATGTAGAGAGGAAGGGGAGAGTGTACTGCTAAAACCCCACTCACTAATGCTAAGTAAGGTAAACGGGTTTGTATGGCAATCAATCTCTGGGGGAAGGAATCCTAGAGGGAAAGCATTCCCCTTAAGTATTGCAAGGCAGGTTTCAGGATGCCCGTTGGACCAGACAGGTCCACAGATGATCATTTATGTATTTAAATCATAAATGATCAAAATATGTATTTAAATTATGATCACACCAAAAGTGGAGGAAATGACATAATCTCTCTCTCTGGGTGAATCAATACAGACTCCAGAGAGAGATAAATAATTGAATCCTCATTGTTAATCATCTCTCTTACTACAGCAGATAATCAAGAGAGAGATGACTAAGCTTTTAATACATATGTAAAATAAAATGTTTATTTATTAATTAAGTATAGAATTAGATACCAAGGACACTGGGACTCAGGTACATCCATCAAGATATACCTCATCCTTTGAAGTGGTCATCAAACCACTACATTAAATCAACTCATAGAAATATGAGCCAATGCAGAAATTTGGACAGGTCCTACATGTCTTGTGGCTGACATTGACACTACAAACAATACCAGTTTTGCTCCAGGAAAAAATTGCCATTTAGGTGGTGGAAAATAGATCAATTTGCCTGAGGTTTTTTATAAAATGACTCAGGAGTAAAAATTGGGCTAAAATGAGCTATTTTAGCCAAAAAATAAAAATGCCTAAAATGAGCTAAAAACCAATTTTGGAATGTTTGTGGCATTTTGCTTTTGGGCTAAAATAGCTCATTTTAGCCTAATTTTTCTCCCTGAGTCATTTTGTAAAAAAGGCTCAGGGAAATTGCTCTATTTTCCACCACCCAAATTGCCTGTAGTGTGATGGTGTAACAAAAATACCTGTCAAATACTGGCTCAAAACACTCCTCTAAACCTATGATTTGCATCTTGGTTCCCCCTTGAAAAGGGTCCTCAAAGGCCCATCCCCCTGAAAGAATTGCTTCATACTATTTGTGGGATGCAGTTTTAATTTCAATTCAAACCCTAGGAATTGGCATTGGTGAGTTATATACTTAATAAAATTGCAACATTAATTTTGATGTAAATCCAGAGCGTGGATATCATAGATGGAACCTGAATTTGATGATAAAGTTTGGCTAAAAGCAGAAATCCTAACCTTGGACTATCCTCAACAAAGGCTCCCATTTTTTCAAACTGCTATGAAACAGTCACAGAATACCAGGTACAGCATACAACTGTGCTGCTGCATATTTCATGGTATTTCCCAAACCCAAATGAAACTCAAAGTACTAGTTACAAGTGGGGCTAATCCCTGCTGCCAGGTGGGGAGTGATAACCACGCTCATTCCCCCTTTGCACACACACTCCCACACTTCCCTCTCTGAGGTGAGTGTGGGACCACACACCAATCTGCAGGGGAGTGTGGACCTGCACTCCCCTCAGTGTGCGTCAAAACTGCACACAGGGATTCATATTCTTTGGGTGCATATAAAAGAGCGCAAATATTTAGTTGATTAATGAGTGAGGGTCTCGGCGGTAAGGAATGGGGTGTAATTGTCCCGGTGCCTTCAATGTTGAGAACATCAATTTTTAGGCTAGTGAGATTGGGAAATGTAAAAAAGCAGCCAGCATCAATTTGGCATTGATCACATGGCTGAATATATTCAAAACCTTTAATGAATCCATTTCCTTCAGTGAAGCTGTGCAGAGAGTATGGAGCAGTACCAAAATGCAAAAGCCTGTCACCACTGATAGTTCTACTCCAGAAAGATGTGCGTTGATAATTGCACACCTCCCCCCTCCCCACCCGCCCACACCCCCTCCCCTTGGAATCCTGTTTTCCCCTCGGAAACAGCCTTCCAAGGGGCAGGCAGACAAACCCGCCCCTCCTGACGCCATAATTGGGAGGTGAAGGGAGAATAAATTTCTCCCTTCACCCAACATGTTTTCCCTCCCGGCTGGGAGGG